TATATATATATATATATATATATATATATATATATATGTATTTAAGGCTTTATGCGGCGCTCTCTTACAGATGTGCGAGAGACGATCACGCAAAGCGGAACGCACGCGGCAGCACACTCACCTTCAAACGCAGAGCACCAATTTTTATTATTATAAGAAGATAATCTGTTGAAGTTTGACACAGCAGTATATATAAGAGCATTCTGACGCGCGAGGTCACTCGTTACCTCGCCCAATTCAATCCCCTCTCCTTCCTTCATCACATCCCAACGCCACGACCAACGTATGCTTCACCGTACTTGTAGACCTCCTGTACCGAAGGCCAGTTTAGCCACAGCTGCATCAGGAAATCCTCTTCGTTGTCGGCGCCCACCTCTGTGGAAGGCAGTTCGGTCCGTGATGAACTTTGCGCGATCGGGTTCGTCAGCAGCCACCATATCAGCTTCTGCTGTCGTGTAGCCTCGATGGCCAGACGCGAGGAAACACGCGGATCGGCAACAGAAGACGAAGACGCAGGCAGTACCGCCGCCGCTGTTGCACTCCACGGCTCATTCCTTTTCATTCCCACCGCCCACGCATACAAAAGACGGCGCAGAGCGGCGCGCACGCGAGTGGTTTCGACCGTCTGGGGTGATGCTGATTGCTGCGGAGAAGGCGTCGTGGGAATCAAACACAGAACGTAAAAGATGTATTGTACCGCGGACAACGGCTTCCGTTTCGCCTTCTGCCACACTCCCGCCTGGAATGCAGTGGCGCAGGCAGACGACGAAGAAGGCACCGCACGATTTACACCGCTGCGAAAAGCTCGCAAGGCGTCATCCGTGTTCTCTTGAATTTCTTCTGCGAGATGGCGCAGCGGGGAGAGCAGAAACCGCTGCCGGACGTAGGCGCAGACGTCAGGGTCCATTCGCACGCGCGTCCAGTGAACCTGCACCAACGCTGCGGACGAGCTGTCGGCGAGCAGAACAAAACGAAGGCGATGCAGGGAAGTCAGCAGCGTCACCGGAAGCGATTGCTCTCCCCACTGCTGCTGAAAAAACTGTGCGTAGGCACGGGTGACAGCTGTGCTGACCTGAAAAGCACGCGAAAGGTACGAGGAGCACCGCGGAGGGCGTCGAATGAGGTAATACCACGTGACGCAGACGGCGCTGACGGTGCGCATGTAGCGCGGAGACACGTACTCCAAACAGAGGCACTGAAGCTCCGTAGGGAGGTGGTGGAGGCGGGATCGCGGCGGCAACGGCGATGTTGGGGGCTGCGATGACGAAGAGGGTTCCCCAACAACTGTCTTATCCATTGACGCTGATTTATGAACTCTGAGTGGGGGTGCCACGCAGGCGCATTGGGAGTGCCCATCACTCCAGTGTGAGACAGGCCGACCTCGCTTCCTCTCCGTCCAAGAGGCCTCTGATGTCGTTGTATGTTGAGTGCATCCGGCGCCTTGCGAGTCCTTGCCTGGCTGGCTTCCTCCGCGAGCTCCCTTCTTCTCCCTCACTGGGGGAGGAGGAGGAGAGGGGGACAAGAAAGGAAATGCCGACCGAAGAGAGCGACTGGTGTGTTGATGTACCAGCAGCCGACTGCGAGCCAGCGAGGAGGAAGGTGAGGCTTCAGCAAGCATGCGTCTACTGCGCTGGAGGGCGGCACCTACCCCACCGGCAGCGTGGTGGGACTCCATCTGGGAAGGCGGACCGTCCGAAGAGCGCACGACGACACCATCTGGTTCCTCTGCGACAGCGTAACGAGTGCTCCCGTGCCGCCGCCGCAAACCTTCGCAGTACTCCGCATACGTCACTTCGTTGCGACACGGCAGGAATGGGGGTCGTCGAGCGCTGCTGTTGTTGTGGCTGGTACTCCCCACATGATGCATGGGCGGTGTGGACGGTAGAGATGGACCACTACCTCTCACGGAGTGGGAGGGGTGCAGACCACACAGGCGACCGCGGAGTACGGTTGCGGTACTGGGAGAAGGAGTGGAGGGCCTCGTTAAACAGCCTTGTCCACGCCGCAGCAGCGCAGCGACAACACGGGGATGGTGCAGCATCGAGTCACGGCCATCATGTCCTGTCGATGTGTTTGCCGAAATGAACGGCAGCAGCCACGGAAGCGAATAGAAGCGTCGAGGAGGTGTGTCCGTGTGGGAGGGCACGGCGATGCTGTCCACAAAGCTCTGCAATAACGACGCGCTGGTGGTCTTCGCGGATGTTGCGGCAGCCGCATTTGCGCTGGCGTTCTCCTGCAGTGCCTTCGCGATGTTCACCAACAACACCGCAACGTCTGACTGCGGAGGCGGCATCGATGCCACACGAGCCCGCTCACGTTGCCATCGCCTGCGTGCGGGGACTGCGGAAACGGTAGGATGACCCGTGGCTCGGCTCTCTTGATCGGTAACGCGAACAGGGTCTGTCTCGTCGTTGCTGCAGCAGCTGCTGTCCTCTCCGGAAGGTCGTTCTTCGGATGCACAACCGGGGCTTGTGCTGACTTCCTCCTCTTCGTCCACGCAATACCGCGCGGGGCCACCACCCGGAGCCAAGAGCGCCGCGACATCCCGCTTCAGTGCCGCCGTGTCGTAGGCTGTTGCGTCCACGTAGAAGAGCAGGCAGGACAACAGGACCGGCGCAAGCACAAGGCGACCCAACCGGCGGTCCAGCGTGTCGCGTGCCAGTTGAATGGTCTCACAGCACGCGAGGAGCTCTCCCGCACGAACATTCAATGATAGAGAGGATGAAGACGATGAAGGGCACGGGTCATCACCGCTCTCTTTAGCAATGCGGTCCAGTTCTGCGACACAGGAGCGCAGAACCCAAAATGACAGGGCGTAGATGTCGTTAAGGTGGAGGACGAGATCCAGCAGGGGTAGGGCGTCTGTCGGCAGTGGTGCGGCTGACTCCGTGTGCTGTACGGGCAGGGGAACGTGAAGATCACGGAGAAGACGCACCGCCGCAGGGGAGAGAACGTGACGAGGGGAGGGCGTTGCGGGAGCTACGGCAGCGGAAGTAGAGCGCATGCATGAATTGGCAGTTCCTTTTAAAAATAATAAGTGACAATTGCCCTTGGCGAGCAGAGCGGTGGGCAGCCAAGAAGAAAAACATTAAGAAGAATAACCCGCGTGGCTTGCATCAGCCCTCGGAGGAGTCGAGACTTGCTATTTGCGAGTCGATGGATGGGAGTCGAAGGAGGCGCCAAAGTACTTTAATGTAGAGCACCTTCCTTCCTTCCTTCCTCTTTTCGCTCTACTCTAAGGAGAGGTGCTAAGAAGGCGGAAGGAGGCAGAGTTGCAGAGGACGTGAAAAAAACAGAAAAGAAAACCCTTGTGAAAGCTGCGCTTCAGGGACGTGAGTTTCGCCTGTGTGGCTCGCGGTCGCACTGATCACGCCAGCGACGACGGCGTTGTACTGCTCTCTGCGTGAACGAGAGGCAATAGGGGAAACACACACGGCGCACGTCGAAATGTTGCTGTAGACGACAGCGGTTTTCCACTTCTTGTTGTTGTACGAGAGGCGCGAAGAACACTACTGCGTTCCACTACGGTTGACGAGCTTCTCTTATCAGCAGGACGAGCTGCCTTTCCAGCGCTGCTGCGTATGATAATGCTTGGTTTATGCTGATGGAATACACTGTGAAGTTTTGTGACGCACACGATCTGACAAACGCCATATCTTCGTCTCCTTTCTCTCTCCGCCAAACCCCGACGCCGGCCACCAACGGGCGAGGGCGGTTTCGCTGCAACGAATGAAGCCGAACCCAGATGGAGAACGCACGAAACGGCCAGAAAGGCCGCCGCAAGTTCGTTGCCCTCCGCAAAAGTCCGCGGATCACTCCGCCCAGGGAAACCCCTTCGATTCAACCGTCGTGTTGCCCTGGTCGTTCGGGGCAACAACACTATCCATAAGCTTTTATTTTTAACTTCCGTGGGCGGCGCTTTACGTCGTAGCTCCCTCCCCCCCCCACCCAACGGCAAAACGGTTGCACCCCTTTATTTCTTATTCCGTTGTTCTCTTGCTGCTTCAACAGTGGGAGAAGTCCACGACATCTGTGATTTCCTCTGCCAGCCACTGCGACACCCGCTGCTTGATCTTCGTCTGATCCTGCTGCTTGTAGAAGACCGGCTTCTGGAACTCCTTCAACAGGTAGCTGCGGTCCTGCATGAACTCGTGCACCGAGGAGACGCCCGTCATACCGCCCGACCACGGCGTGCAGCCGACGGCGTCGTCCACGCCCAGGCGGACGTGCAGGCGCGGGATTGCCATGTGCGAGAGTTGGATGCCATCGCGCGAGTGCAGGAAGACCGTGGCCGGGTTGTTCACGATTGAGTTCAGCTCCCGAAAGAGCGTGCGGGTTTCAATGTCGCTCGAGCCGTAGCCACGGATGACAGGAAAGTTGGCGCAGCGGCCGAGGGCGAAGATGTTCGGCCGGCCGAAGAACTGCATGAGAGTGCTGACGCGGTAGTGGCCGTCCATCATCTCGTGCTCCTTCAGAATGTTCGGCGACGTCGGCCTCGGCGTGTCCCACTGCAGCGGTCGCGGGGTGTCCCCTGACACGGCAAACACGTAGTCGAAGCCCTGCTCCGACCCGCACGCCATGACCTCCCCGCACTGCTGCACCTCGTCTTGCTTGCCGTAGTACACCTGCTGTAGAATGGATTGCTGCGAGCGGATTTCACTGTGCAGCGTATCGTAGCGCACGGTGAACTGGTCGGGCACGACACCGCGCGGGGTCCAGATGGCACTCAGCCACAAACGCCACAAGGGGAGATCGGCCCTGTCCAGGACCAAGGCGGATTCAGAGGGGGTGCTCAGGGTAGGCGGTGCGACGCGCCTGGCGTGCGCAGCAGGCAACGACGCCGCACCACGACCCTTCCCTTGCTCGCTGCTATCTTTCGTCGCCGACGTCGCGAAGCCGTCCACTGCCGTGACGCGGGTGGACAGGTGTAGGTGAAGATTTTTGTTCGACGCCAGCTTCTCCTGTGCGTGGCGGCGGCACACGCCAGGCAGCTGCGGCAGCAACTCCGCTCGTTGGTGGTAGAGGTGGACCTCCATGTCGGGTCGGGTGCTGGCGAGGTCCTGGGCAAGGGACGTGCCGACCGGACCACCGCCGACGACTGCCACCTTCTTACACGTCTGCATGAACTCATTAAAACGCTTCAGCTCTTGTACGCGGCCAGAGATGGTACGCTCGCGCGTCTGAAAAGGGAAGGGCTTACGCTCTCCCGTAGCGAGGATCAAAAGATCGTAGGGGACCCTGCGGCCGTCGCGCAGGTACACCTGCGTATCATCCACGCCCGTCACGGTGCCGGTGACCACGTTGCTGCGCTTCAGGTAGTAGCGGTGGAGCACCATCATGCGCCGACACGCCTCGGGGTTCACGTCCTCCTTCCACGGGTTAGTGATAACCGGGATGACGTCGTTCGTCAGCTCGTAGAAGTTCTTCTCGTCAATGTGGGTGACATCAAACATGCTGTCGAGTTGGTACGCCATCTTGCTGCCCGCGTAACCGCCACCGACGATGACGGCGCGAATGGGAATGATATCCTTCGTCGGGTCCATGATGATGTCCAGCGTGGGCGGGTCGAGAGCAAGGGAGACGTTGGTGGGGCGGCGATGATAGGCGGAGCAGACGGAGCCCACCACACCGCCAAGAAGAGCTTTCACAAACATTTCTGTGGAGCTAATGGAATATATATGTAATGTAGTTTTCACTAATGAAGAGGTAAGAATCACGATGAGTTGGCAAAGCAGAACGCGGCTCTTCTATACAAGACGGTCACCGAGCAGATGCGACGGTGCCTTTCTTTTTGAGTTTTTTATCGGACCGTGTTGGCCGCTGATCGGGGGCGATCACCGACAACAGGAAGGGTTCGTACAACTTCGTTGCGTGAGAAAGTAAAAGGTGCAGAATACCCTCCCCCCCC